AGGCATGAAAGGTCACTAACTTATGGAATCCTCTTTTATTTTTTCTCATTATAGTGAACGTTAATTGTAATTCTCGTATCGAATTACTTCCTTCCGAATTTTGTTTCACGTAGATTAGCCATGAAATTCCACATGCCATGTCTTTGATAAAGAATAAACCTAAATTGTTTGTGAATGAATGAATTGAAGATATAAATTTCAATTAAAAACAGGAATTTTTTTTTTTTTTAATCTACTTTTTGAGTGTTTGAATAATTCATGTCCAAGAAGAGTAGAGTGACCGTACAGGAACCCTTGACAAAAGAATTCAAGTAGCAAATAACATGTGCATTAAAATCCATGCATCCAAGCAATTTTCACATCATGTAGATTGATGATGAGACAAACAAGATAAGTTTACAGGCTAAAGTTACACTTTGGACTGCTTTTGTTCAACTTTAGAAAAGAACATCATCAAAGCAATTACATCATGCGTACAGATTATTTGAACCTACACACAAAATCAATACAAGACTAAGACCACACACACCCTGCAAATCTCAAAATACATATATGCTAAAAGCAATACACTTTCTAACGCTTAGATCACATCAACATCCAACATAATTTTAGAGAGAGAGAGAGATTTTCTCGTTTTGGTCCACAGACTCAGAGTCATGTTTGTTGGTAGCTAGCCAGATTTTTCTGATGAAATTTCTATTTTGATCAGAGGGCCGTTACCTACTAGGTCAACCTCGACGTTCTGGGGTCCAGTGTGGGGCAGAGGGGCTAAAATGAGCCGAGACCACCCTGGCATCTAACAGTTCAAGAATGGGTGCGAAATTGACACATCTAGGAGGCTTGTATTGATTAATTGAAGCACCCCTTGAAATTGCATAGTCCATGAGCTCTTCAAATGTGCCATTTTTCACCACCCTTATCTCCAGTGGTCCAATTGAGTTGTCCGCTACTCGACCTTGCCTGTAGACAGAATTCATTGACTCTTCCATAACCAAGCAGCATTTGTTCAAGACCTCATGAGTTGGAGCATTTTCTGGGTCTTTTACATGCAATTCCCAGTAAATAACATAATGTCCTGGGATAGTCTTAGTATCTCCATGACTAGTGTACTCAACTACTCTAGTATCGAATTCATTTAGTAGCTCAGAAGCATTTTCAATAGCCTTTTGTAATTCTGACTCATCCGTCTTGTCTGCGTCAATGCTTAAGAGCACATTCTTTCTCCTTATGAACTTGAACTGGGGTGCCGAGTTGTAGAACCCCGTGACTAAGAGAATGTCACCAACTCTGTAACGACACAACCCTGAGTAAGTGCTGATCACAAGCTCGTATTCTTTTCCCACCTCCAGGTCAGCCAGGTCAACTAGGCGTGGCGGAGAGTCACGTGACAGTGGCATGGGATTGACTGGGTCATGTGGAATGAACTCAAAGTATCCCATATTAGGCATGATGGTGTAACATGTTTCAGAAGGCTTGGTCATTGGCTTTAAATTGAGCCCAAAATAACACTCAGATGAGGCATACATAGTACAGGGGAGTGGTAGCCCACCACTGTAATAATCAAGGGTAGGAATGTATTGAGCCATTGCACCAGTAACAATCACATCAAGGTACTTTGTGTTTGGCCAGATTCTAGGGATGATGCTGGCCCAATTCTCACCTTCACATTCCTTAGTAATAAACTGAGCAAGTTCAGGGTTAGGTTTGAGAATTTTGGACATGCATTCCTTTATAGAAGAGTCTGTAATTCTAGGGTTTAATATCCCAGACGAGATATCATCAGCAAGTTGTTTCCAGTTGAGTTGAAGGAATTTGATGGCCCGGAGTAGGCCGGAGGCGAAAACTGCCCCGACTCGGAGAACCTCTTCGCGCATGATTAAGCCACATAGCATTTGTGTATACATGCTTTGGAATGAATCAGCACAAAGAATGGCCTCATTAGGGCTAGTGTACACCAAGAAAGGGTCATGTGGCCTCTTCTTGAATTGTTCACTTTTGTAGTAACTCGTGAGGACTGGACGTGCCACTATCCCACCTGGAGTCTTGGTTTCAGCTTTAATAAAAAGAAAGTAAAGGCCCTTCCCTTTGTCTAGTCCTGGCACATAGCTGTTCATAGTTCAAGAGTAAGAGTTTTATTGCAAGAAATATAATGAATATTAACTAATATTTTCCGATGAAGCAATTAAATATATATGAGTTAAAAACGAGGTTACTCACAGGTTCATCACGGGCATGAGAAGGCTGTATAACAGCTGTCTGCGGTCCATCTCGTCAGCAATTGTTGGCATGAGCTTTCTTTCTCCGGCAGACGTCCCAGAACTACAATTTTTTGCACTATTAATGCACTTGTAAAAGTATTTAGGGTTTCAATATATTCCCTTCACCTTTTAAAGCAGAAAATTTAGCTGAGATATAGCTTTTTATCCTTATCCAATACCGATAGAAACCATCAGATTCTTACTTAAAAGATATGGATTTCTTGTTTTCAGAAGACAAAAGTGAATTAAATGTCAAAACTCAAAAGACTCGCACTCAAATGAATACAATTCATCTATATAAACAAACTTTTATTCATTATGTAAATCAGATTTTAATCAAGAACAAAACATGAAGATCCACCATCTTAACCTAGCCACGATATAAAAAGAAGCTAAGTGAAAACACCACAAATATGTGTGCGTGCATATGTATAGTATATGATTATATCCATAATTGAAAGATAAATTCTATAATAGTTACCTCGTAAGAAATTCCGAGATGGGGTGGGACGAGAGGATAGGAGAGCGGTCACCGTTGGCAATACGTTGGATATCCGGCTGAAGATCCTCGTACTTAACGATAGGGACCTTAGCCTTGTAAGTATCGCGGTCCGTAGCTCCATTAAGTTGAAATCTCTGCAGATACTCAGTATTAGCATTTCTGCTCAGAATTTCACCAATAACCCTTTCTTGCACTGCACCACAATTCTTGGTCATATCTTCAATAAATTGAAGAGCCTTAGCATGTTTTTCGCTTTCCGGATTGGCAACCGGAGTCGTGGCAGCCACGGGGGTCAAGACAGCGGACTCAACAGCCATTATATCTTATCGAAAGAGAGAACTCTGAAAATTATTTGAAGAAGGAATTGTATGATTTTGGTGGTGCAATTGGAGAATGAGTGTGGGTTTTTTTATAGTGAAAAAAGGGTTTCGGAAATGTTTTGCCACGTCAGGTGGAAAGAGGGAACAATATTTGATTTCTAACAACTTTGGACGGACTTCGACGGAGCATTGGTTTGTGTCGACATTAAAATATTATTGGAATCGGCAATATATGCTGTCGCAGGGAACATTGGGGACCCACTGGACGTCATCATGTTTTTAATGCGTCGACATGTGGGCCCAATATAATGCCACGTAAGCATTTTCCAGCGTGCACATTTGGTCCCGGTTCTGGGTTTGTTGGTCACGGAACAACGATAGGCTGCCGGCGACCTAGGCAAATATTTTCATTGTTCATGACATACGACAACCCACTACCCATATTTTAAATTAATTTTATTTTTATCAATCTTTTATACAGAAAGACTTGTACAAACATATGTACTTATATATGCATAGTTATTAAATAGATTTTTACTCTTTCAACGTGAATAATAATACGAGATATTAGTGGAATAGAAAGTCAGAAATACACACGAGTGTAAGAAAATATAGGATCAACTATGTAAACTTCTTTCTTAACTTTCGAACGAATTCGTTTTCTTATGAATACATAGTGGTGGCAAATGGGCTGAGCGGTTTGGCTAGCCCACTGGCGAGCAGCTCGTGGATTCGTCCAAAATCGAAGGTTTGTTGTTTTTTTTTTTAAAGGTTTATCTTAAAAAAAAAATGATGAGCTCGGGAGCCGAAGCTCAACTCGGCTCGACCAACAAGCTCACGGGTCGAGCCAAGCAGAACAAACGAGTCACAAGCTCGGCTCGTGAAGAACATGAGCTGAGCTCGTGTGTATACGAGCTGAACCGAGCCACCTCTATGAATACTCGGCACTTTTTTTGAATTTCAAAGAAGAAGAGTAATTGCTAATTTATGAAAGTGGAATACATGACTCAGATGCCTCGTGATGAGCACGAGCTGAGTTCGTGTGTATACAGGCCGAATCGAGCCACCTCTATGAATATGCGGCACTTTTTTTAATTTCAAAGAAGAAGAGTAAATGCTATAATTTATGAAAGTGGAATACATGACTCAGATGCTTAGCCACAAAGAACACACTCGTAATTGAGTGATATTATTTGTGCATCATTATGTATATAATGGTTTATCAAATAGAAGACATATGGAAGAGAGAGAGAGAGACGATACCAAAAGAAACTCAGTTATTACAATTTTTTTTTCTTTTTCATGTCATCTATATGTACACCATTATCTACATAATGATTTGCAAATTGCATCACTCCTCATAATTTTAGATTACATATACAACAAAAAGTCAAATGTCATTTTAGATATTTTTATCCAAAATTGATAGGGCTTTTTGAGGTTTTCTTTTTTATTTTTGTTTATGCTATATCCATAGATGCCTGAAATTAATTAACCTATCAGGCTATAAAGTAAAATATTGCAAAGAACATATATTATTATTAAATTCTAAAAATTAAAAAATAATTGTAGATGTAAATGATTTGGTCATAATTATATTGTTAATCTCAATCAATGGTGGAAAAAAAAATAGTTGTGCATCGATCACGTGGACATCCTCGATGTAATTTTTGGTTTGTAATTATGCTTCTTGTCGACTACTGCTGTGATCAACATTAGAATTTCAACAACTGATATTGATTTTTTTTTTTTTATATTCATTTGTTGGACAGCTTTTTCAACGGGGTAGAACATTATCGATTCAATTAAGAATTTAATAATTATTTTTTAAAAATTATTCATAACCGAATATTAATAAATAAAATTCCCATCAATTCAAACATTACACTCAAGATTTGAATTAATATGGTATCAGGTGAAGGTATTGAAAATTGACGTTCCATCTGAAAAGTCAATTTTGAGAAAACGTGTAACGCAAATCTTTGTATGTTGATTTTTATTTTTATATTTAATCGATGCAGAATTTTACCTTTTAACATTTTATGGCAAGACGGAGGTTTTTAGAACACCAACTTGCAATCCAATTGCTCGTTTAAATTTTAAATGAATCAAAATGCTCTTTCATGCTTTTTTTGAGTTCAAAATTTGGAAATGCGTCTTAAGATGTTAACTTTGTTAAAAAGAGTAACTAAACTCTCTATGTTTGATAATTGTTTTTGCATTTAAATTCAATGTAATTTTACGCTTTACGTGAAAGAGTGTTCAATATATTAAAATAGTAAAAATTTAAATAATTTTTTTATTTTTTTAAATCTCTAACAATTACGTACACGCTTGGACATAGAATAATAATCAATAAAAAAGAAGATCAGTAGGCTTCCACAAAGTGACCACTTTATGCTTATCATTTTGTATAAGATAGCACATCTAGCTATTTCGAATATCATCTCCTATTTATTTGATGTTGATAAATACGTTTTATTATCGAAAGGAATTCTAATATTAAAGTATTTAAAAGTTCGATAGCATAATCATTCATAGAGAAAGTGCTATATATTTAATAAAATGGTGTAGCTAGGAATATTATGATGCTAATATTTTTCTTAAGTATTGAATATATTAAAAATCGATCCACACAAATTTTGATGCGAAAGTCTACAATATTGCTGGTCTAGTGTCCCCTATACCTATATTTTCTGAAAAGAAAAAAAAATGGAGAATGTTGTAAAAATGAACAATGTTATGAGTACTGGAAGATTTTACGGAAATTTAACAAGAAATACTGTTGGGAGCAAACAAGAAGTTCCACATGGGTTGGGAGAAGAAAAGAAATCCACCATATAATCCAAGTGGGCTACTCCACCCATTACTAATTGGTTTCTGGATGGAACCTCACTTGGATCTGGTGAAGTGGGTTTGGGCCTTGGGTAATTGCTCTCAATAATTTCCTAACAGTGGTATCAGAGCCTAGGGTCGGAAGAAAGCAGTAAAAAGCGTGGTGACGATCGGGCTAAAAATTATTTGCGTTTGAGGTGCTTTGTGTCGAAAGT